GGTATGATCCCAAACATGGAAATCCAGTGTATGAGGGCTATGACATTGATAATGGCAGAACCTCAGGCAGAAGAGGTTACAGGAGATAGAAATGAAGAAAGGGAAGTAGAACAAGCTGAAATTGAACGGGAAGAAGAGGAAGAACGAGAATCTATGCATATCCCTCCCTCCGACGAACGGTCCATCCGTGAGCTTTTACTTGAGAGTCTTGCCCTTTCTAAAGAACAAATTGGCCTTAGCAAAGAGAATAAGGAACACATTCTCGACCTGCGCCTTCGACTAGAGGAAGTAGCCAATGAAGTCGATCTCGTGAAGAAAGACCTTGCCGATCTCCGTGTCACGGGACTTCCTCACTTTTGATGATTTCATAACCCCCCTATCTTTTTGATGAATGCCAAAGGGGGATAATTGATGTTGTTGGTGGTTGATGTTGCTGTGACTTTTGTGCTGGAATATAGAATATTGACTGTTGAAAAATTGATAGAGTTGCTAATGTAGGTTGTGGATGGTAATGCTGATTGTAGTTGTAATTGAAACATTGGTTGTAGTGGTCATTGGGGAATAGATGATGTATCTTGACCTTAAATTCATGAATCAATGAAAATACATGTTTTTGGTAATTAAAATCTATATGCTTTCATGCCTTCAATTCTTTCATGATTTGTTTGTATGCCTTAAATATATTATGCTTTCAATTCTAATGATGGTTAAATGATTGCACAAGGAAAGGGGGAGATTTGTAAATCTCTTATTTATCAAGACTATGCACATTGATAGGGGGAGAATCACTCACATACTTATTCTCATCTGACGAACACATCAATGAATTGTCATCATCAAAAAGGGGGAGATTGTTGACCTTGAATCAAAGGTTTATGATGATCATAATTCATTAATGATGTTCTATGATCACTAATGTCTTCTTAAGTGAAATTACAAAGCAAAACATTCATCAAAACAAGCACTATAATATAAGGACAAAATTGAAGAAGCAACACCAAGGCATGAGTAAAGGACTAAGCAATCAAAAGTCAAAGTCAAGTCATCACAAGACATCAAAATAGGGTTAGCTAGGTTGGTGAGTTTCTTAGGAAACTTTGTTAAAGTGTATATGAACATCTTGAAGCTCAAACTCTCTAACATTATGCATATCATCTCAATTACCATGACTAAGGAACAAAGGACTTAAGCATATCCTTATCTGAAAATATGAGTCCATTTCGGTTTACCGAAATAGGAAACACTAGTGTATCAGTCTACCGAAATGAACCAAGAGTTAGGATCAAAGCTTCAAGTTATTTCGGTCTATCGAGATAAATCATCATTTCATTTTGGTCTACCGAAATGAATATACAGATCCAACTAATAGTTATTTCGGTCTACCGAAATAACTGAGAGTTCACTTCGGTCTACCGAAACAGAAATATCGAGACGGTGAAGTTCAATCCTAAAACTATTTCGGACGACCGAAATAAACATGGGTTCCTCTTCGGTTTACCGAAGCTAAAATATCGAGAACGGTGTCCAACCAGAAAACCATTTCGGACGACTGAAACTCAAGGGAGTTTCACTTTGGTCGACCGAAGCTACGCATTTCAAAATTCAAATGGGCATTTCTGTCTTGGGGTGTGTGTTCAACAGCTAGAAAAGTATCAGACATCATCTGAAAGTCTATATAATGACTGAATAACTTCATAAAAGGTTGTTGCATTTATTGAAAAAGATCTACTAGCAATCAAAAGCTTTTCATCATCATTTTACACCCATCATATATCATAAAAGAGAGTTGAACTTCAAGTTATTCATATATAATTTATAGTGAGCTAAATCTTGTACTTCAGATCTGAGAGAGAGATCATTTTGTACTTCATCTATATATTTCAAAAACTTATAAGAGCTGGTGTGGCTCAAGGAAGGCTAAGAGAAGGTGTATCTCTTCGCACTTAGAAGCTAGAAGGTGCTTCTTGTAAAATGTTTACTCTCCACTCGCAAGGAGAAGCTTTAGTGAATTGGGAAGTCTTAAAAGGGGTCTTGAGCCGAGGAGTAGGAGTTTTCGAACCTCGCAAAATCGCTGAGTACATGTTTGCAGCTTCTATCTTTATCTCTCATATTTATTGCTTCATGTATGTCTTGATATGCCTCTTCATAAATATTAACAATTAAAGCTTAAATTCAGTTTGCATCATTCAATATTTGTCAAAGAAGTTAAGTTTAACTCTAGTTGATAAATCAATATTGAAAAATTAACCTTAGTTTGCTTAGACTTTATTCACCCCCCCTCTAGAGTCTATACTTAGGCAACACATTGTTCAATCCAATGAATGAACTGATTGGGAAAGCTAAATAGATGCAATGAGTCAACAATAAATTACCAGTGTAATGAATCAAATGAGCAATCAAAATATTGTCTAAGATTTGCCTATCTTTTACAAATGCATTCTATGAGGGGGAGATAAGGAAAGGAAGAATAGTACTTAGTTTTGTGGCTATTAGCTTGGCCGAATATGTATTTATAGAGGAGATTACAACATGAAATTGGTTTAAAATCATTCACAGTGGAGGGGTTTGATTTTTTGGGGATAAGGGCTATGTAAGAACAGTTAATATCAGAGAGCATTTTACCAGAAATGAAGAAATCCTTAATAGTTGCAGTTACATTTTGGCTAATGATAGGCCAAGCATGCTTGAAGAAACAAAAATTGAAGCTATCTGGTCCAGGGCTCTTATATGGTTGAAAGGATAGAATGCAATTCTTGATTTCTAGGTCCGTGGGGATGGTGAGCTGAGGTAGTATGTGTGATGGAACCATCTTGGTTAAGAGATCAGAGAATGTATTCATACCTGGGTACTAGTTGTAACTCTACCCAAGTAACCCTTGAAAGTGCCTTAGAAACTCATTCTGCATCTCCTGTCCTTGAACTGAAATACCATTATGATCCTCAATTACAACAATTTTCTTCTTGTTGGATTTGGATGAGAAAGGCTTCATGAAGTAGGCTGTGTTTTGGTCCTCCATTTTCAACCAATGGACTTGAGCCTTTTGTTTGTAAAACATTTCCTCAGCCAAACACAATTCTGAGTATTTGCTTGCTAGGTCCCTTTCATTAACTCTTAGTAAATTATCCCCAGGGTTAAGATTAAGGCTTCTTTGGCATTGCTCCAGTTCTTTTTTGCAGGCAGTCACTTTCTTGGAAATAGCTCCAAAATCTTTCCTATTAAGTGCTTTAAGGGGTCCTTTCAATGCTCTCAGCCTTTGCACCACTGAGAACATTTTAGTGCCTCGAAAATACATACTCCATCCTTGCTGATGCTGAACAATTTCCATAAACTTCTCATTGAGTGTCCAAAAATTAAATAACCTAAAGGGAAAGTTTTTCTTGGGTGATTGTGGACCAAACTTAACTACCATTGGTGAGTGATCTGATATGCCATGTGGTAGAAATTCACAAGTAGCCCTAGGGAAGGCATTCATCCAGGCTTAATTGATTAAAACTCTATCCAATTTCTTTGAAATGTTTGCACAGCCAAAGCTACTATTAGTCCAAGTAAAGAAGATGCCAGAGTACCTCAAGTCCTCTAATCCATTCCTGTGTAGGCAGTTATTGAAGTCCACCGTGCCTTGTTCTCACTTCACTGTCGATCGAATATAATATGATTGTTCATTGTTGATGGTAGTTCGTAAGTAGGATGAGGAAATCGTTCCACGTAAGCCAAGAAATCTGAGATCAGTATCCAAGTGGAGATCCAAGCAACACAAGGGATTCTCTAGGTATAGATATTAAGAAAGGGAAGGCCGACTTTGGTACCGTATAAGCTCGAGCTTCTCAGAGGATAGCCATTAATGTGGTGGTTATTGTCTTAAAAGGCTGATTAACACCCTTATTTATAGTGTTTACTTCCTCGGTCAATATCTTTTAGTCCTTTGGCTGAGCCTGCTCTTACCCAAAGGTTTGAGGGTCTCTTCTTCTGACGGATGAGACATTGATGGACGGGTCGCGGCGCTTTGCCCCCTAGTCAAAAGAGGTAACGGCGCTCCCTAATTAATACGAGTCTTATCAAACGTCTTTCGCAATTAATGCGTTCCTTATCCTTCCTTTCTTGAGCTTAGCTACCGAGTATCCTTTTCTCTTGTGTTGGCCTCGGGCTGAGGTGAGCCATTGGATCTCAACCACCTATCCACATGTCCTCAGATTCCCGTGCTTCAGGAGGGATAGGTCCTTTTCGAGGTCCTGCCTTCATGACCTCACAAGGTCCTATCCCAATTTTATCCCGAGGTCTTCTTTGTCAAGAAGAGAAACGCGTAAAACAAGTTAGTTGAAGTCGCTCTTTCAGAGAGCACCCTCGAGCATGGGGGGAGGAGCCCATCCGACTAGAGCGGGGCGCGTCCCTAGTAGAGAAAGGGTAGCGACCCCTTCCTCGGCCAGCGAGTTCAGTTATCGGATAGGTAGCTCGAGAATACCTAATCCACCGTGGACACACTAGGTAAGCACTGGCCAGTTGTGCCAATGTTGCAAAGGTGGCGCCACTTAATCAGCTATCGTGGCGCGATCATCAACATTCATTAACAACATCTTTGGTAGTCAAAATCATTCTACCAAATTGTAATCTATTTTTAGTTTTGAAATCTAGGTCCACGCTTGACCAGCCAATCAGCTTATAGCACTTTGGGTTAGGTAAAAACCCCATGATCCAAGTCAGGTTTGTATCTGAGAACAAATTTTTTATATTTTATTTTATGTTATTATACTCAGATAGTCAAGTTTGCAAGTAATTTTATGTAATTTATGTTATTAATTTTTGAATTCAAGTCCGTGTATGGGCATTAAAATTTTGGGCCCAATAATCTCAGCCCCTACGGGTACCATTCCTCCTCTCATAATTTTGGTAGGTAGAAGCGTTGGGTTGCTATCTGCACTGCCCAACAACCAAAATTTTAATAACAAACCATTTTATTATATTCGTTGATATATCTATATATATATATATATATATATATATATATATATATCTACACCATTGTCTCTTTTTAGTTGCACAAAAATGGATGTGATTCATGAGTTGATATACCTAGTGATTGTGCCTGCAGTTTGTGTCTTTCTATGTCTCATCCTACCTTCCTTCTTCATCTTCAACTTCATACATACCATCTTACAATACCTCTTCCCTGCGAAGAACATGAAAGGAAAAGTAGTTCTCATCACTGGTGCTGCCTCAGGAATTGGAGAGGTTCATGCTCGATCAGCCATTTAATTTAATTTATTTCATCTGTTTCTTATATTTCTCTATTAATTCCTATCAATTATATATGTGTGTGTGTGTGTGTGCAGCAAGTGGCTTACCAATATGCAAAAAGAGGTGCTTCACTTGTTATAGTTGACAAGAATGCCCATGACCTTCCAAAGGTTGCAGAGACAGCTCGCGGGCTTGGCTCTCCTGATATTCTTCAGGTTTGTGCAGATGTTTCCATTGTTGAAGATTGCAAGCGCTTTGTTGATGAAGCCATCAAACACTTTGGCCGATGTGAGCTTTCTATTGATGTTTGTTTCTTCTTCATTGATTACTTTACTTACCTGCTAACTCATACTCACAATTCGTCTTTATTCTTTATAAAGCTTATTTTTTAAAATGAACTAAAATCGAATTTTCGTTTCTTTTGAAGGAATTATTTATTTATACGCATAGCAAACATGAATATCTTCACCTATCAAAGAACTAAATAAACATGAATGTCTTTTGGCCGTTCCATGTATGTCCTCTCAAATGATTGTTCCACGGTACATTAAGGTAATATATTATCATTTGACACACGAAATTCCTTTAAGAGAAAACTCTATTTTTCTTAATAATAGAGAAATGAGCCCGTTTTCAACATAAACAAAGAGTTTTTATTGGAAGGGTACCACCACAGACATTGCATACTTTCTTCGCATGCTTTTGCTTGATTATTATTTATTTTAAATGACAAAAATATCCTTACATTATAATTGTTTTGGATTTTAGTTAGCACATACGGAGCACATGCAAATAACAACTTGCTTAATTTATGATGTATATATTATGGAATATCCCGAAAAGATTCATGCAAATAATACACATTCACTCGTTCCGAAGATTTAACCTGACTTCTCAAGTGAAATGTGAAAAAGTAACATTAAACTACAGCTTTTGATAAGCTACATAATGAAAGATTAATAAACTTAAATTTCAGTTCTTGGAAGAGAAATCAAATACTTGATAACACAATTGCTTGATTACTTGTGATTTTTATATATATATAATTGTTGAAAAGAAAGATTATTAATTTACAGTGGATCATCTCGTCAACAATGCTGGTATTTCCTCTATATGCCCAATTGAGGATATCACAGATGTTACAAATTTCACACGTGTGATGGTAATAATTCTTCTATAGTAAGTAGTAACATATTTTTTCAATTTCTTTTTAAAACTGAATGTCTACAGGATGTAAATTTCTGGGGATATGTTTATCCAACCCATTTTGCAATTCCTCACCTGAAACAGAGCAAGGGAAAGATCCTTGCTATTTCATCTGCTGCTGCATTGATGCACCCTCCAACACTGGGCTTCTATAGTGTAGGAATTAACCACATACATTATTTATTATATATATATATATAATATCCTATATCTTCTATATATCTGATCAAATTGTTTCCTTATTATTATTATTATTTACATTGGACTTCAGGCAAGTAAATCGGCAGTAAAAACCTTTTTTGAGACGTTAAGATCTGAATTGGCACCTTCAATCACCGTAACAATTGCAACTCTTGGATTTATAGATTCAAATATGACCAGAGGAAAACACTTACCTGGCCTCACCCAAACAAATCCAAGTACGACTACAGATGTAAGATTTACATATATACCAGTTTAAATACCTACTTACTACAAGTCATTTCTCTCACTACAAAAATCATTATATGTTTTCAATTGCATTATATGATGTATCTCCTATTTATGCAGGTTGCAGAGAGTAAAAAACGAGAAAGACATGTAAGTTTTGACATTATTATTATTTAGTTATTCTCAAGCAATGACTAGCATTATTCATGCTTAATTAACAACAATCAACTTTAATACATTTACTAGTGTGTGTTGAGTAGGTTTTTTTTTTTTTTTTTTTTTTTTTTGTTTCCTTACTTAGTACTCACATACAAGTGCTTCCGTGGAGGTTTGAACCCAAACCTCCCTTTGGGAGATAAGAATTTGATACTGCTAGGTCACTGATCTCAATTCATTATTAATTAAGACAAAACGCTGATGGACAGGTAATTTTCCAATCTTTTGTGCTGATGAGTTCGAGGGCATCTGCAGGAGCCCTTGTTGATGGAGTAGTCCGAGGAAAAAGATATGTGACCGAACCAAAATGGTACAAGGCGTTCTTTATACTGGAAGCTTTATGCCCTCAAATGGTGGACTGGTATTACGGTCACATTTTCTTTCGCCAAGTCAAGCATGTCTTAGATGAAGTATCCATTCCAACATCACAAACTAAAGCGGACTAGGTTTAGATTTATCAAGGCATTCAGTGAATTTCTTAGTGTTTGGTTTTACACAATTAACTTTTTTATGTGAGAAATGTTTAAAAGTTCGATCTTCTACAACCCAACTGTCACGGTTCAGGCGTTGTATCAGTATTCTTTTTTTTAAAAGATTTAATGGCAACGTGAGTGACATGCATGGACGTTTCCTATGCTTATAAATTCTTGATTAAGTAAACATCTTCTTTATACAATTTTAAAATATAATACATTTAAGCTCATCTTACTATACCGCAAGCATAATCTTAATTTGAGAGTCATAATGCAAATTACATGTTCACAACAAGATGTTACAGTATTATTATCGAAGTTGTTAGTGAATCGAAAGTATATATATATTTGTCAATCACAATGTTTAATTATTAAATTAGATATCTTATAAATTTGGGTGTTGTTAGATAAAACTAAAAATTTAGTACTGAAAATTTTAAGGGTTGAATTTTAATTGCTATAATTTTTAAGTGATCATTAAAAAATAACTATTTTTTGATTTTTAATGATATTAAGCAGCGCTGACCATTTTCAATAATATTTAAATTGCGTTATCAAATGCATTTAATTAGATAAATGTTGAATTGAGTTTTCAAACAGCACCCAGTAATTAATCTTGATTAGATTAACATGACTCAAACAAATAATTCGGAAGCTTAAATTTTAACTAGGAAGAGTTAAATTTAATCTGAGATAAAAATATGAAAATTGCTTGTGGTACATTTAATCCGAGATAAAAATACAAAAATTGATTGTGGTACAATTTTAGGTTTTCGGTCCTTCCTGATATATGGATTAGAATTAAGGCTCCGTTTGTTAGCATAAAATAATTTTCGACAAATATTTTATGTGTTTTTTGGTGTTTATTTGTTGTAAAATATTTACGAATAAAAAAATTATTAAAACCTAACAAAGAAAACTTATTCATCAATTTTCGACAAATTATTTTATACGCCCACTCGATGGACTCAATCCCGAAATTATTTTATATGACTGCAAGGATTTGTCCGGCCACTCTGGTGGAAGCAATCAGACCATTGATTGCCCTGTTTGATTAAAACTGATTAAGTAAATACAAATTTATATATAAGATTTTATGATTAAGTAAATACACATTCAATAAAAAAAAAATCTTATGTTTTGTTGATCATCGTCTCCTTGCTCCTGTTTAAACAAATAATAAATAAGAACGTAAATAACTATTTATTAATAATTATTACTATAATGTTTTGTGATTTTTATATGTTTCTAAATTTTCCAAAATTTATAAAAATCCTTTTGAAAAAAATAATAACTAATGTTATAGGTTTCTAAAGAGTTTAGAATTTATAGAAAATCTTTTGAAAAAAATAATAACTAATTAAAGAGTACAAAATACAATTGAGAAAATGGATCTTAAATAATTATTTATTTATAATTAATAAACTCAAAATATGACAGAAATAATAATGAATAATTAAAAATTCCAAAATTTATAGAAACACTTTTAAAAAATAATAAATAACTAAAGAAAAAAATAATAAATAGGAACGTAAATAACTATTCATATATAATTATTACTATTATGTTTTGATTTTTATAGGTTTCTAAAGTGTCTAAAATTCATAGATCTCTCTTTTTATTTAATTTTTTATTTTTATTTTATAAATTTGGTAACTTATGATTTAAACATGGTGAGGAGTTGTACTATAACTTTATGTTTGTATTTTAATTGGTAAATTATGATTAAATTATTTTATTATTTACTTATTTTTAATTATTTATTTATAGATAATGATAATTTGAAATTCTTACATCTCTTGTACTCTTACTATTAATAATAATAGTATAGATATATTATAGATAATAAAATAATAATAATTACTATTATAAAATAAAATATATATAAGAATTGTTCATCTGTTCACTGGTGTGTAAGGAATTTATGTATAAATTAAATCTTAACCGTTGAATATAAAAGAATAAACTATATTTTTAACTGCCCACTGGAATATAGGGATTAATATTTAATGTGTGAAGTCATTTTTCTGTATATCAGGGAGTGAGTGATTAATTTTGAAATATATATATATATATATATATATATATATATATATATATATAGATTTAATTTTAGTTAATATTAAAATTATTTATTTATTTATAGGTTAATGAAAATAAAGATTATAATAGAAATCCCGAACAAAATAGGAAACTAAATTGGATACCCAACTAAATTACTAAATCAATAATTGATATTTTATTTTAGTTAAAATTAAATTTTTTTATTTTATTTATAAATTAATAATTTGAAATACCTTTGTATTTTTAATAATAATATAAATTATTAGCATGTTATTATTATTTAATGATTATAGTCAAGTTTGTAAATTATGTTCAAGTTAGAGTGAAAAATAAAAAATACGGAGTACAAAACATCAATCAAAATTTGAATTCGGCCTTCTTTGGGAAGAACAATCGTACGTAGTTGATAATAATGTGCATTCATGATATAATTAATAAGTGTGGGTCCACTAGGGTCAGGCTACTTATTTCTTTCATAATTTTGGAAGGTAGACCGCCTCGTTGGACTTGCGATTATAAGATATTTTTGTTGTGGAGTAGATTCTCCGTATTAAAGTTGTTTCTTTTATTATCCACCTATTTATTTAGGTTTAGGGGAACATTTATTTATTGGCCCATAAATAGATGGTGACTTATGTTTCCTTTAAACTCACTATATACTTGCTCATAATCTTTTCGCCATATGTTTGAGAATCCAAATCTTAAGTTCATTATTAATGCAATCACTTCATTATATGAATTTAGGATAGAAACAAACAAAAAAAAATTATATTAATATTCCTTTTGTCTAATAAAAATGAGTTAAATTTTCTTTTCAGATATTATCTAAAGATGGTGTTTACACAAAAGTAATTTAGAATTATATATTAATCTTCATTAACAAGTCTAGGGAGCATCAGAGAAAAGAAAAACTAAAAATATTGTGAGAGCACGATGACAAAAATGATGTTATACATGTTAATATTTTTAGTTGTAAAGGAAAAATTCTATAACTAGTCATTGTATGAATTACTAAAGTCCTTCTCAATTTTGATTATGATAATCATGTTTTATTAAAACTTGTGTGAGATTTTTTTAGTTAGAATTATTTATTTATTTTTTTAATCTTTCATTAAGGTAATAAGAATATATCTTCGCCAAAGTGGAATTAAAAAAAAAATAGAAATTAATTTTTTTAAGGCTCCGTCTATTCGGATATAAAATAAATTTTCGAATATATATATATTTTTATTTTCTGGTATTTGGTTGTGATAAATATAAAAAAAATAACTTGCTCATCAATTTTCAACAAGTTATTTTATACATCATGTCCAATGAACTCAACTTAGACCTTTGTCAAATAGCAAAAATTATATATATATATATATATTTCACCTGAAAAAGGAAAAAAATTTCCGTGCAAAATATTTTACCAACGGAGCCTAAAGATTTTCCTTTTTCAGGTAATTATTATTATTTTTTATTTTAACATTTTTAGTGTTTGGCAAATGTCTGATGAGTTGAGGTTAAGGTAGAGTCCATCAGACTGAAAGTGTGTAAAACACTTGCTGAAAATTAATGAGTAAGTTATTTTTGTTAAATTTTAATTTTTTGTCTCCATCAAACAAACTTACTGCTTCGATCTAGGATTCTAAATTGTCTTCCACAATGGAATCCGATAAGTGAGATTACGAGTAAGTGTTTACATAATCTTCAACCAAAAAGCAAAGTTCCCACTGATGGTATACTTAGTGTATAGGGCATTAGTCTCAAAAGTGAAGGAGAGTGGGCCCAACGAGTAAACTAGGTTCCGACTCAACACGAGTTGGCCCTTTCGTTGGCTATAAAGATTAGGGCAAAGCCACTTCACCCACCCTCTCGTGAACCAGTAATTCATCCTCTATGGCAATTCGCGTGCCCTTGTTAACCTATACAGAGAAGTCTCCACAGAATGAGTCGTAATGCTTTAATAAAGAACAAAGCCCCCCAATCCCTGTTCAATCTTTCTTTACTGGGTGAGCTCACACTGATCTATTAGTTCTGCCGTAAATATTTTAAGACAACCAAATAACAAAAAATATAAAAATATTTTTTTAAAAATATTTTACATCCAAACAAACAGAGTCTAAATGTGAAATAATATTTTTCGGTAAATATTAAATGTGAAACAATTGAAAAATAAAAATTATTTTTCTTTTGGTTAGTTCAAGTCCGGTAAATATTATGGTATGAGTTTTCCATTTTTTTTAATTTATATTGCACCTTTTTCATTTTTAGATTATATTTTTTCAAGATATATTAATATTTATATGAAAAATTAAATTACAATTACTTATAATTTTTTTCAAAATCTTATTACATAATAAGTACTACTCAATTCCCAAATTAAAATATCCGACTCCTCCTCTGCCTATATGTATATATATAGCTACACCATTGTCTCTTTTTAGTTGCACAAAAATGGATGTGATTCATGAGTTGATATACCTAGTGATTGTACCTGCAGTTTGTGTCTTTCTATGTCTCATCCTACCTCCCTTCTTCATCTTCAACTTCATACATACCATCTTACAATACCTCTTCCCTGCGGAGAACATGAAAGGAAAAGTAGTTCTCATCACTGGTGCTGCCTCAGGAATTGGAGAGGTTCATGCTCGATCAGCCATTTAATATCTTCTATATGTTTCTTATATTTTCTAGTAATTTCAAAATTGATTGAGAAGATATATCAACTTTAAATATATATATATATATATATATGCAGCAAGTGGCTTATCAATATGCAAAGAGAGGAGCTTCCCTAGTCATAGTTGACAAGAATGCCCATAACCTTCCAAAGGTTGCAGAGACAGCTCGTGGCCTCGGGTCTCCTGATATCCTTGAGGTTTGTGCAGATGTTTCCATCGTTGAAGACTGCAGGCGCTTTGTTGGTGAAGCCATCAAACACTTTGGCCAGTGTGAGCTTTTCTTATCACTATTTGGTTAATTTCTTTTTCACTGATCACTAATATCTGCTAAATCATAGCCACAATTCGCCTTTGTAATGCTAGTTGTGCGTGGTTTTATTAGTATTATTTTTTTAATAATTAGTTTTTATGAAATCAAATATTAATATGTTTTCATTTGGTATAAGGTTGGAGCTATGTATGGGAGTGCAAGTTTCTAATGTTCCACCTTTATCATCAGTTATTTCAAATTATAAAAAATTTCTTTTTTTTTTTCAATTTTTTTAGTACCATCGGTTAAAAGAAAAACAACTGATTCAACCCGACTTTTTAAGTGACCCATGAGAAAATTTTGTTTGCTTCCGTTGCACCAGTAACGAGCACATTCTGACCGTTCGTATAATACACGCACAGACGTGCAGTGTCTATTAAACGATTGAATGTACCTATAACACAGTGTAACGGGTTTAAGAAAGTTTTTCTCGTGAAGAACAACTTTTGGTGGTGGTAATCACAGGGACAGAAATCAAGTGCTTGATAACAAAATTAATGAGAGTATATGACTTGGTTGCTTGTGATTTATATCTTAAATTGTTGAAACTAAAGAAACTAATTTACAGTGGATCATCTCATCAACAATGCGGGTATTATCGATGTATGCACAATTGAGGATGTCACAAATGTTGGGAATTGCACACGTATGATGGTAATATTTCTTTTATAATAAGAGTATTAATAAGTAGTAATACATTTTTTCAATTTTTTTCCCCTTAGTTTAATTTCCTTTTAAAACTGAATATATAATTTGTCTACAGGACGTAAACTTCTGGGGATTTGTTTATCCAACCCATTTTGCAATTCCTCACCTCAAAAAAAGCAAGGGAAAAATCCTTGTAATTTCCTCTGTAGCTGCATTGATGCATCCTCCAACGTTGGGCTTCTATAGTGTAGGATTTAATCATATACATTATTTATTTATAATTAGTAAATTATATCCCCTATATATCTAAATTGTTTCCTCATTCTTTTTATTTACATTGTGCTTCAGGCAAGTAAATCGGCAGTAAAAACTTTCTTTGAGACACTGAGATCTGAATTGGCACCTTCAATCACAGTAACAATTGCAACTCTCGGATTTGTAGATTCAAATTTGTACGAAAACCTCCCCAATGTAAGTCCAAATATGAGAGTTGTAAGATTTCCAGTGAAAATACTTATAATACCATCAATCATCTCTCTCATTACAAAAATCATTATTAAAGATTGATTTTACTTTGTTTTTTAATTACATATTTGAATCTCTTGATGGCTCTATTCATGGATAAATGTTTCACAATATATTGTCTCTGATGTATCTCCTATGTATGCAGGATGCAGAGAGTAGAACAATGAAAAAACCCGTAAGTTTTGACATTTTTATTAGTGTAAATTACATTAACCTATCATGAAATTTAGGCAAATTATACCGTTTAACGTTTATTACTTTGATCTTCTTTAAACGAAACGAAAGTGACTCGGTAATGCCATAATATTATAATAATATATTATATTGAAGGACAAAATTGTCATTTTATAAAATTTGATTAACAGGTCTATCAAAATAAAACACTAAAGGTGTCGTTGAACACACGCACTAAATTTCAAGAAAAGTCAAAATAATAAACATTGAAGGTTTACACATGTATAATTTACCTAAACTTCAAGAAAAATCAGTTTAATTTATCCTTATTATATTATTTAATTCATGCTTAATTATAATAATGAACTTTAATACATTTACTATGGTGTGTTAGCTAGGTTAGTCAATTCCTTATTAATAAGGTAAACGTTGAACAGGTTGTTTTTCGGTCATTTCCGTTGCTGAGTTCAAGGGCGAGTGCTGAAGCCCTTATTGATGGAGTTGGCCGAGGGAAAAGATACGTGACCGAACCAAAATGGTACAAGGCGTTTTTTATGGTAGAAGCTTTATGCCCTCAACTGGTGGATTGGTATTACGGTGGCATTTCTTTTGGGCAAGTCAAGCTTCCAATATCACAAAAAGCAGATTAGGTTCAGATTTTGAGTTTTTCGTTATGAAATATGTTTTACACGTTCGACCTTCTACAACTCAGTTGTCAGGGGTCAAGCTTTGTATCAGTTCTCTTTTTACAAACGAGGTAATGGCATCAATTAATGTGAATCTACATGGACATTTCCAATGTTTTATAAATTATTGATTAAGTAAAGATTTTTTTTAGACAATTTCAAATATATATATATAGAAGATTATTTAGGATCGTATTTAGCCCTTCTTGCAATTATGGATCCAAAGACTTTTTGACATACTTTGCATTTCATTTTTTTGTTGGTATATCAGCAAAGGACTAGCCACACTCTCATATTATTTGTAATAGTTCACTCCACCACATGCTATATTATTATCTGTTTTGGATTCGAGCTTGCACGTATTTGTTCTTTAGTTTTATATCAGAATGCCACATAACAATTGGAATGTACAAATCCTAGATATATAGTATTTCTCTTTTTTATATCCAGACAATGTAGGATTGTATACTCATAGTTCGCCCAGTGTAGTAATAGCTTGCCAATGCCTCTTGCACCTCGCACCCACGACAACAAGACTAATTTTACGATTTTCAAAATTTTGAAAGACCTTAGGCGAACTTTAAAATGCAAAATCCTTTATACATAAGTGTGTTTGGAGCCTTTAAGATTGTTTGTGTATTTTTTTTTTTTTGGACCATGTCCTAAATTTGAGACATTTCCAAATACAAAATAGATAAATAAATGATGCATTAGTGGAATCTCCCTTATAAGAATAATAGTATTATTATTATTTTCCATTGTGCTTCAGGAAAGTAAATCAGCCGCAAAAATCTTCTTTGAGAAGTTGAGAGAAATAATTGCAACCCTTGAATTTTATATATTCAAACATGACAGAGAGGAGCGCACTTATCTAGGGTGTAAATCCAAATAGGTTATCAAGGATTAGTTTGACTTATTTTTTTTTAAACACAGATTTCAATAGTATTTTTTTTATTCTAAGGATAAATTACACCGAGACCCCATGAGATTAGAACATATTTAAGCTAGATTAAAATTTTGATTTTAGTTTTCACTCATATTAGAATTAATGGTTTAGTATTTCATTCACACCCCAAATGTCATTTTTCATGGGTGGGTAGAGTACTTTACATGCAAAATGACTATGTTGCCCCTTTGACTAATTGTTGACTTACAAGAAAGATGTTTCAATTTTTTTAGGACAAAAATACCCTTTACCCACCTTTCTACGTATAATACACAATACACAAGTTCATCTTTTCCAAAACCAATCGAGAATGTTACAGACCCATGGCCAGCCACCAATCACGTACATATATACACACTCGCACACATATACAATCTTTTCCCCTCCCTCACCAAACCCAAATTTATACACAAAATTAATAAATACAGTGAAAGGCACATATATACACTATATATCTATATCTATATACACACTATATATATCTATGTGGTGGTTGTGTGTTCAAGTTTTCTGGAGAAAATGGCTTTCTGCAACATTCAGAAAACCCACTGAATTGAGGGAGAGGAGTCTAAAAGTAAGACCCACCAAGAGAATCGAAACCCTTAATTTCACAAGCAAGTGGTTGTGTTTCTTCAATAAAATTGTTAATATTATTACCTTTTTTTTTTTTTTTTTTCTTTTCACAAGGATCTGCCGGAAAAGATGATGGTTTGATGGGTTTTGGGTTTGTGGTGGCCGGAAATTAATTTGGTTAACAATGGTTCGAAGATTTGGCGAGTTCTCGTGAATTAAAGTAGTACAATCGGTGAATGATTGGCGTAACAATTTGGGTTTGATTTAGAAGAGCCTTCAACACCACCCACCCAAAACCTCCATCACCACCACCCACCCAAAACCTCCACCACCACCACCCACCCACCCACCCACCCACCCAAGACCTCCATCACCACAACCCCACCCAACACCTCTATCACCACCATTCCCACCCAAAATGAAACCCAGAGCCACAAGACCCAACTGAAACCCAGCCCATGAACCATGTCGTTATGAACCTGCCATCGCCATGAACCACGTCGTCGCTGTGATTAAACCTAAACCTTGTCGCTGAAGCTAGGGTTTTTGATAGGTTGAGAGGTTAGTGGGTTTGAGCTTATCGACAGCGAAAGAGGTGAAGATTCCGGCAACCCAGTTTCAGCGGTAGTGACCAAAACCGGACGGTGAAGTTTCCGGCAACCCAGTTTCAGCGATAGTGACCGAAAGAGGAGAAGACCTGAGCATGAACGACCCAACGATAGTGACTAAACCGGACGGTGAAGAAATACGCAGTTGCAGCTCCATCAACGTGAAAACCAGCGGAGATGGTGAAGCGAACTGAGTTGCGTGATGACCGACGACTGATTTGCCAACAGTGAGGATCTGAATTTGGAGGTCGGCGGTGATGTATGACAGTGAGCCAGCGATTCAAGTGGAGGCGGCGCTGCACGGCGACGATCACGATTTGGTCGGTGACGATTTGGGCCTGTACAAACAGTGTGTGTATATATATATATAGGGGCCTTTTTGTCATTTATGATTATATTTATTTTGTACTAAAAAATTGAGGGTAAAAATGTCAATTCACATGTGTTAGAGGCCAAAAAGTAAATTGGGGTGTAAGTGAAAGTTAAAATCAAAATCTTCATCTAACTGAAATATGACTTACCCTCAGGGGTTGTCTGTGTAATTTACCCTTATTATAATCGTGTTATGAGGGAGATCTCTTATTCCCATGCATACATATGTGTGTGCGTGCATGCGTGCGTGCTTGCGCCAGCACACGTGTTTTTTTTTTTTTTTTTTCTTCTGATTACATTATCTGATGTAGTTCCCATTTATGCAGGATGCATGGAGAAAAAAAAAAATTGAATAACCTAAGTTTTAACATTATTATTAGTTCAGTCCATAGCAATAACTGCCAATATGTGCTTATAAAAATGAACTTTAATACAATTTATTTTTTATTTTCTATTTATTTCTAAACGAATGAATATTCAACCAACCCATTAATTACTTTAATACATTTACTATATGATAGGGAAAAATAAACCTGACCTACTTTGACCTAACGACAAAAAAACTATTATTAAATTCCTGCCTTTCTTTTAAACCTCCAGTGACTAACTTGATCTTGGAGAGCTCTTAGCAGGCACCACACCGGTACCATCAAGATTCATCGATCTTCTATTCTCTTTTTTGCAGAAAAATAGTGTTGTATCGGACGTCGTGGATTTCACCCTCAACAATCTATACGGTCTCAAGATGCTTCTGCAGTACTGAAAACATGAAAGGAAAAGTAGTTCTCATCACTGGTGCTTCTTCAGGAATTGGGGAGGTTATTTCTTTTCCTTTTTCCTCTCTATATATTTTATTTCCTTTCATCACGTACTCCATATATATATATATATAATATAATATACTATGAAATTTAAATTTGCAGCAATTACCATTTAAATATGCAAAGAAAGAAGCTTCACTGGTGATAGTTGCTAGGAGAGAGAAGCGACTCGTAGGGGTTGCTGAGAGAGCTCGCGGACTTGGCTCCCCAGATGTTCTTCCTGTTTGTGCAGATGTCTCAAACGTCAACGACTGCAAGCGATTTGTTGATGGAGCTATCAACCACTTTGGCCAATGTACATGTATATATATAATTAAATTTATTGTTAATCACTATCTAATTTATTCTATCACTCATCGATTCATATTTAGAATGGAAAAAATTACTCTTGTCAATGGACTGGATCTGATCCAAATGTGATAGCAAGTTAATGGATTAGAGTTGATCCAATATGTTAACAATTAAACATTTTGAGTTACAGTGCCTTAAATGTAAGAAATACTTTTTTATGTTTACTATTTTCTTCACAAAAATGGAAAATATTTTCTATTATAGAAAAACAAAAATATAATACTATGTATTATTAATAATAAGAATTTATTTTTGTTTTGACTTTTTAGGAGTTGGCAACAGAGAACAAGAAACATTTCTTATCAGTGAACGCAGCCTAATTTCTTATGAGTTTTGATTAGGACCTTTTTTTTTTATTATTTTTTTTTATTTTTAAAAGAGGCTTGTTTACAGTGGGTCATGTGGTAAATAATGCTGGGATTAGCTGTGTCTGCACAACTGAAGATGCCACTGACATTACGAAGTTCACATCTATGATGGTATGTATGTATTAATCCTTCAAACAGACCAGTTGTAACAGTTCTATTTGTTTATAAATCTATTCTTTCTTTTAAGTTTTATTTTTGATCGAGTTAATTAAAGTACTTACTCTACTTGGAATTGAACAGGATATAAATTTTTGGGGATCAATATATACTACTCATTTTGCAATTCCTCAACTCAAAAAGACCAAGGGAAAGACTGTCGTAAATTCATCAGCAGCTGCACTGTTAAATTCACCCGGATTGAGCTTATACAGTGTAAATAATTAATTTAATTGATATACACTATATATCTCTACTATACAATATCTAATGTTTAACGCTATATATATATATATATATATATATATATATATATATATATATATTGTTGAATTTCAGGCAAGCAAAGCGGCATTGATAAGCTACCATGAGACACTGAGAGTGGAATTGGGTTCTGAAATCACAATAACTATTACAACTCTTGGTTTCATAGAATCAGAAATCACCCAAGGCAAATGTTTATCAAAGGAAGGTGTCATTGAAGTAAATACTAAACTGATGAGAGATACAAGATCCACATGATCAAGCATTCATTACAAATGATTCCTAATACACTGTTTATGTTAATAAATTAGAGTAAAACCGAGCGTAATGCATCTGCTAACACATTGATGAATTAGAGTACGTTATTGGTTTTATTCGGGTTGGTTAATCAAGTGAACATTAATGGTTGACAGGATGTTATTCAGGCAATGCCGGCCATGAGTTGTAGCGCATGTGCAAAAGTCATTGTTAATGGTGTGTGCAGAGGAGAAAGAAATGTGACACAACCAAAATGGTTCAAACTGCTTTTCATGCTAAGAACTTTATCCCCTGAAGTGGTCGAATGGTATTATCGCACATTTTACTTCACCAACCCAACAATCTCTCATCAGATGCTCTCAGCCAACATCTCATCTACTTCACCGGCCGTCACAAAAACTAAAGCAAATTAGCTAGGTTCAAATTTTAGTTGTAAACAGTTGTGTTCTTTTTGTATCTTCCTCGTGTCTGTTGTAATTGCTTGTTTTAAGACTGCAAAAAAAAAAACCAAATGCCTTTCTCTAAAAATCACACTACATATATATATATATATATATATATATGGGGTGAATTGCAAAAAAAAACCCCTTAACTATCACTCACTAGCAAATAATCCCCCTTATGAATATGTTTAGCAAGAAACCCCTCTCAATTATATTGAGGGGGAGATTTTAACTGACATCAATCTCTATCTAATTTTTTTTTTTGAATAAAATTACCCTCTTTGTCAATAGTTTTTTTTCTACTCTCTCTAACCTCGCACAGTTATTCCCATTCAGAGCCTTTGGCTCACAGATTCTCCCTCATTGATACTTGTATGACATCGCAGAAAAGTTTGGGGTTTTAATGCTCGAGTGTTTCCCAATGGTGCTGGTGTGACACTCATAAATTTAGTGTCATTAGATATTTAGATGGGAGGTAGAAGTCGCAGAACTACTAGTAGAATATTGTTTTGGAAGTGAAGAGCTTATTTGTTTAGAATTCTAGAGTGAGAAAGCTATCCCATGGACTTCCATGATTTGTTTATTCTCCCTTTGTTCAACCTCTCATTTAAGTCATTGGAATGATTAACACATTTCAAATTTAAAATTTCTATATTTCTTTCCTAATGAGTTGAAAATTGGACATCCAAGAGCCACCTTGAAAACCATGTTTCTGGATCGTCATCTCATATGATTTGAGGATTCATGCTAACCCCATGATCAGGTACAATCAGAAACGACATTTGGTAGATGCAACCGAGATCTTCAACCAGCTACCTTGGGAAAAGAAGCTACGCATATCTTGTTGTCCTTCTCTGCCTTTCCATATTCTGGTATGTACTTATAAACAGCTGTAATGTGTTATATTAAACTCTAAGGTAAATTTGACGGAATTTGTTTGTGCATTTGTTCTAGGTTAGATTGAGAGGTTAGAGAGTAGGAAAAAAAAAAAAAAAAAAACTGTTGATGAAGAGAGTAATTTCGTTCAAAAAAATTGAATAGAGATGAATGTCAGTTTAAATGTCTCATCAATATAGTTGAGGGGGGTTTCTTGCTAAACATATTCATAAGGAAATTTTTTTGCAAGTGAGTAATAGTCAAGGGGGGGTTTTTGCAATTCACCCTATGGGGATAAATGTATGTCATGAATTCTACAACATAACTTTAAATTTTTATTTTTTTCCTTAATTTATTTTATTTTTTAAACTGATATGTTTATTAAACCCAAAAAGATATATCGTTGCGATTTCATTTGTTACGGCATGGATACACTGAAGGGAACACTAATTTAAGTGAGGTCTCACCCAAGTAAATCCACGAATGAGATGTGAGATTTACATACAGCGCGTATAAATATATTACATACTATAAGTTTATAAACATAAATATAAAAATGTTATCAATACATCTTTCTAATAAAAATAGCATTATTAAAGATAAAAACTTATAAATAAATAAAAAAGTGCAAAAAAACACCTTTACAGTAAGTTTATGCATATAAATTTTTAAAATTTAAAAATATGTACAAATTGTCGCTTAATATTTATTCATCTTTAATTCGACCAATATTAATTTCAATTCATATAATAATGAAATCCACGTCAAGCATTACAAATGATTTCTAGTACTGTTTATGTTAATAAATTGAATTAAAACCGCGCATAATGCATCTGCTAACACATTGATGAATTAGAGTACCTTATTGGTTTTATTTGGGTTGGTTGGGGTACCATCAACAAACATATATATATATATATATGTTAATGAAGTGAACATTAATGATTGACAGGATGTTATTCAGACGATGCCGGTGATGAGTTATAGCGCATGTGCAAAAGTCATTGTCAATGGAGTGTGCAAAGGAGAAGGAAATGTGACAACCAAAATGGTTCAAACTGCTTTTCATGCTAAGAACTTTATCCCCAGAAGTGGTTGAATGGTATTATCGCACATTTTACTTCACCAACCCAACAATCTCTCGTCAGATGCTCTCAGGCAACCTCTCATCTACTTCACCGGCCGTCACAAAAACTAAAGCAAATTAGGTTCAAATTTTAGCTGTAAATGAATACAAGGTGGTGCTTGTTTGTTGTTCCTGGCGTTCGTATACACATATAAGTTTCTATACGTTGAGAACCGCTTCATGGGGTTTCAGGCATGTTCCTGATTTCCACTATAAACCTATTATTGGGACGGACTCATTCTCGGTTGGTGTTCCTGTGAATGGTTCTTTACATTGGTTAGCTCATAAATGTTCAGAAGATTCTCCATATGTCAAATTATATGTTATTTGTGCATTTGATGTAACAAACGAGAAATTCCGGGATCTATTGGTACCATGCCCTTTGCACAAGTCAAGTGATTTTTTGGTGGTTATTGGAGGGTGTCTTGCTATGCTTGTATGTCCTGACTATGGCGATATTAATGTTTGGGTGATGAAGGAGTATGGGGTGACTGATACTTGGACCAAATTTTTAACAATCAATTCGTGGTCATATTGTCGAACCCCGGTTATAATTTCTATGGTGGATGGGATGGTTCGGCTGGATATAGATGGCAACGAATTGGTTGCATACAATTCTGAGGAAGTGGAATCAAGGTATATAAGGGTGCATGGCATTCCGTCGAAGTTTAGAGCAAAGAAGACCCGTGTGGAGAGCCTTATCTCGCCCAATTACGAACGTTATGAAGGCATTGAAAACTCGAGAAAGAGGTAATTTATTTCATCTTTTGGCGGATCATTTTTTTCATGTATTCACATCACATATATAAATATTTTTTTCATGTATTCACATCACCAAAAAAAATCAATTCCAAGAACTATTTTGGACGTATTGCGAAATTTGAACTATAGATACATATGGAGGATGGACGAGTCAAAAAATTATAGAATACTTCGGAGATATCAGATTCCGAATCTCTCATCTCATGTTGAAATTTACGTATTGAATAATCCAAGAGATTATGGTAGCTAATAATACTGTAGAACTTGTTGTAGGTATCTACGTCTCGCCCCCCACCAGCAAATTATAACGTCATGATCAGTGAGAAAAGCTCTGTCTCTCTCTCTGTCTCTTTCTATATCTCTCACGCTGATTATTGAGATAATGATGGGGCTCTGACCCCCAATTGTAGTAGACTTCTCAGAAGAAGGGATTGACAGCTCCAAAACCTTCCAATATTGTGTTGAAGCAATTAAGCATCACAAGGTCCACACTCTCTCTCCTCCTCTTCACTGACTCTCTCTCTCTCTCTCTGAATATATGTGAAATAGTTATATATTTAACTCTTTGTGTAACTCTTTATCTGTTTACACTCTGTGAATGTGAATATGTATCTCTCTGCCGTCACAAGACAAAAAGGGTAGAGACGAGAGAGAAAAGTCCAAGAGAGGGGGTGATTTAAGATCTGGAGGGAGGGAGGGAGGGGTTGCATTGAATGACAAAACCTAATCACACGCTTCCAAAGCACGCGTTACGGTGAAACCACTACGTCACTACTTTACACAAACAAGCATGAATTGTAACCACCTTGTATTCGTCTCTAGATGAATCGTATTTTAGCTGCAAATTTGGAATTGTGTTCTTTTTGTATATATCTTCATCATGTCTGTTGTAATTGCTTGTTTTATTAAGACTGCAAAAAAACACCAAGTGCCTTTCTCTAAAAATCACACACACTCTCTCTCTCTCTCTATATATATATATATATCAGGCATCTTTAATTTTATTTTTTAAATTGATAAGTTTATTAGATCCAAAAAGATCGCTGGGAATTTTTTTTTTCCCTGAATGATGGCTGGGATTTCATCTGTTACACCATCGATATACATTGAAGGGAACACTTATTCAAGAGAGGTCTCGCCAGTGTTATTAAAGGCCCAAAGTGCTAGGGTTCCTTTAGAGTCCAGGCGCGAGGCACGCGCCTGAGTGAAGTGAGGCGCACAATTGAAAATTTAAAATTTAAAATAAACATTCACATCTCATAAGTCATATCAATATTCTAAAAATTAATATCAAATATAAAAATATAAATTCATTAACTAAACAACCATCCAACAACCATAAAACAGAGTACAAATTTGTTTTCTTGAAAGACAGAATAATTTGTGTTTTTTTTAATGGCAAAACAGAGCACAAAAAGAAATAAATCTGTTAAAAAAAATTAAAAAACACCTAACAAGAAAAGAAAAGCAAAGCAAAAAAAAAAAAAAAAGATGCAGAGACGGAAGAAATAGAGGAAGAGCAATTAGTAAACGAGAAGAGAAAAAACGTGTTAAAGAAAATAAGCAGAAAAAATCGAGCCCCCCCAGAAAAAAGACTAAGAGAGAAGATAAAGATGTAAACAAAAATAAGAGGAGATGAAAAGAGAGAAGAGAGATAAGAAGAAGAAAGAACTGACATGGTTTCGTCATTCATCTCTACAACTAGAGTTTCGTCGTTCGTCTCACGTCTCACTCTCTCACTGTTCGGTTGACACTTTGACTCTTAGGCTTTCTGATTTGTTTATTCTTTTGAATAAAAGTTTCTTTCTCTCCAGGGCGAAGCCAAGATTTGAAACTAGAAGGGGCTAAAGAACAAATTCAAGCAGAGGATTTACTGGTAAAAAAAAAAATTCAAGTAGAGAAGATAATTTACTGGGAAAAAAAATTATTTATACTTGTGAGAAATCCAAATATGAAGAAACCCAAATCCAACAACATGATTCAACACAAAACAATCAAAATTAAACCTAAAGTAAGGAAACCAATATTCAAATTTTTCAGACAATAATCCAAAAAAAAAAACCCCAATTACCAAATATCATTAGAAACAAAATGTTGAAGTTATTTTTATTTTTATTTATATATTTTTTAAAATCTCCACTAACATTAAAAAAGTGAAAAAACTGAAAAGGGATTTATTTTATTTTTTTGGTAAATAAAAACTTGAAATTAAGCTGAATGGTTTGGTCTTTTGATTTGCTGAGCTAGTGGGCTGGGCCATTTATCATAGATTGGGAACTTGGGTTGGACTAAAGCTATTAATACATAGTAGTAGAATTTTATTTTATTTCTTTTATTTGGACCTGGCCTCAGCCCATGTTAGCCCGCGAAAGGCTTTACCCCTGTTTCTCTCGAACCCCTGAACTCTCTTATTTGTTTATTAAGTTGTCAAAAATACTATGTTTGGCTTAAGAAATAGAATAATCATAGTTTTTTAAAAAAATCAACGAGGTGCGCCTGACAAGCAAGATGAGGCGTAACCGAGGTGCGCAACTAGTAAATATGGGATGACAATAGGCGCTAAACATGAACCTCTAGACAGACGCACCTTTAACAACACTGATCTCACCCAAGTAAATCCTCGAATGAGAGATGCGAGATTTACAAAAGTATTATTAGATTACAGTCTTTAATGATTTTTTTGATCATCTTTTTATGTAATTATATTTTCATTTTGTGTGTACGCTGTATTGGTATCCATTAATGTGAATCTACGAGAATATAAATTACAGAGTGTTGATTATAAAGTTAATCAAAGTGAGTAAATTATTAATAACTTAAAAAATATGTAATTTATTTTATTTTATTTTTTTTCAAGAAAGGAAAAGAAACCTATCCAAGATTAATCAGCGCCATATACATAGCTGAACAGGATTTGAAGACTTAACCCTGCACCTTGGTGGGCACTAAAAAATATATATATATTGAAGATTATTCAGTTTCGTATTTAGCACTTCTTGCAATTATCAAAACTGTTATATATATATATATAATATACACACACACACACATACTTGGCATTTCATTGTCAACTTTGTAGCGTATATCTGCAAAGGGATGGGCCAGCCCAAGAAAAAGGGGCCTCGGGCTTTGACCAGACAACAGACTGAGCAGTGAGCAGGCTGGGAGCCTGGGACTGGCCCCGAATGTTACACCCATTCTCGGCCTAGCAGGCGTCTGACACATATATCTATATTCTATATATATAGAGAGAGCAAATTGCAAAACCTCTCTTAACTATTTTAAATTGGCACAAAACCCACATTAAGTAGAAGTTTCACCTAAAATTTCCCTTGACTAAGAAATTGTTGCACATTCGAGGCCATTGGTCTTTTGAAAATTAAAGAAATATCATAATGAAAAAACTGTACCTTAGTAGAAATTTAAGAAAGAGCAAATTGCATAAACCCCCTTGAATAATCATAGAAATTTTTTTTAAAAAAAAAACTTTTTTTTTGGTTGGTACCACACACATATGTCTCTATTAAAACTTGAACCCCTGACCTCCCATTGGATAAGAGGTTGATACCGCTAGGTCACTGACCCGTTGGTAAAAAATAAAAATAACAAATAGGTTTTCTTTAAAATTATTTTTATTTCGTGTTTTCTTTTCCCTTTTAATTTTCAAAAAATATAAACTTAAGAAAATTTTGAATATTACTCAAATTAAAGTGATGTTAAATTTAATAAAATGTAAGTTTTCTTTAAAATGATTTTTATTTTAGGTTTTCTTTTCCTTATAATTTTTAAAAATAGAAAGTATGAAAATTGTTTGAAGGTTATATTCATTTTCCTATACACATATAAAACTTCTTCTTTTTTATTTTTTATTATACAAACGTAATCCATTTAAATATTTTTTCAGAAATAAATTTTACCAATACAAAACTAAATAAGTTATATGTATTAATTTTAATCTTACCATTGGAAAATAATTTTTAAAAATAAATAATATAGTTTTGTCCATGTGTATTAATGTCATTTGCAAATTCTAATTTTATGCAAATTTTTTTGGAATAAATTGAGTAAAACCCCAATTTCATTCATATTTGGTTAAAGTAAGGGATTTTATGCAATTTCTTTTTAAAAAAAAATTGTATAGAATTAAAATTTGAAAATCAAATACACTGTAGCACCAACACTAAAACTGTAGCTGTAATAATAACCACTAGGGCCTCTCTAAGTATATAGCTAGGTGGAGAAGTACCTTTTTACTTGTCCAATTATTATTATTGCTTCATTTTTTTACTCCTGTATCTTAAATTAAGTGTCATTTTTTATAATTGTGACTTACAAAAATATGAGTCATAATTTTCAAAGGCGACATGTGAGTCATAATTTTTAAAAGCTACACTTAATTTGGTACAAATGGAGTACAAAATTTAGATATTGGTAAGTTTGAGTCATTGGTCGTCCACTGGTGGGAATTGTAATTTTTCTAATTAAAAAAACAAAAAAGAGACATGGCTAAGAAATAAACTGCCACATGTGCTATTGCTTTTCTTTTAAAATATATATATATATAGAAACAGTCACGTGTTATTCGGGTCTGTTTGATTTGTAATACTACTTGGTTCAATATTTTTTATAATTTTTTAAAAATATTTTTCTGTTATTTGAATTCGCCAGTATTATTTTCAAGGTTACAAGCTCCTAGCTTTTGTTACAGGTCTAACTTTTGTCAGAGGTATATACTGTTCTCGAAAAGTTTGCGTGTGCACATGCAGCATAGTCAGCAACCGATGGAGCCATTAATTCAATACACCGCCATTTTCTAACCATCTCCGAAAACTTCACAAAATTAACCAAGAGTGGTAATTGTTACTGTAAAGTCTAAAATTTGTACATAAATTATTATTATTATTTTTTTTTTTACGCTTTAAGATAGCTAAAGAAAATTATCTTAAGCATAAATAAATAAATAAATAACATATTTTGTGGTATTCTGATTCT